TCCCATTGAGGTATCTTCAGCCTTTAACTATATATAATAATAAATCTTTTTTCTTTAATTCCCTTGTCTTCCTGATTGATTTCAATTATGCATTTACTTTCTTTCAATCTGTTAGGTACTACTGCTAAATCTTTTTTATTTTTTCAATTTATTTATAGTACTTAGCAACTAAAACCAAATTTATTATCGATTACCATTGTTACGTACAATTCAAAAGCAAATTAAGTTGATAATTTATTTTCCCTTTCAGTATATGTAATTTCAAGTTTTAAAATGTTATACTAATAATTTCTCCATTCAAATGCTCTACTACAATTCTAGATTCCTAGTCAACTGCATCAGGATGATGACAATGAGCAGCAGGTTGATGATAATGAGCAGCAAGATGATGATAGTGTGCAGCATGTTGATGATAATGAGCAGAAAGACTGTGAGGTTGGACTTTATTTGCCAAATTAAAACCTAGATTCGAAATTAAAGGCTGGCATCACGACTTGGTAGCCCAACCCAGACCGCAGACTTCAATGCTGATTGTGAGGTTGGACTTTATTTGCCAAATTAAAACCTAATGCAATTGGCATAGAGTAGCATCAAAGTTTACCACTAAACTCATTAGTCTTATTCTACTCGTGTATCACTTCTTTCTTCTACCAACTTAACCATGAGGAAGGTTGTTGCTGATTTTTTCAACATTTGGAAATTTGGTCTTTCCAAGCATTTTTACCTTCTCTTAATGTTTTGCATTTGCTTGTGCAGGGTGAAAATAAGATTCAGATCCAAGCATAAAAGAGGATACAATTTTAAAAAATGAAGTTGCTCAAACAAGTATTGTCAATGCATGCAGGTCTGTGAAATGTCAATTATCTCATTATGTATGATTTATTTATCTGATGTGTAGATAATATATGTTGTGTATAAAGTCTGCATCATTTTGCAGGTCCCTAGTTCTTCAAATTAACCTGTAAGCAATTAGGCTCTAAAACTATATGTGATGTTGGTGACACCCTGCTGAAAAGCCAAAGTGCCAACCACAACAATCATCTCAAAAGCCATGGAGACCTTTTGATTTTTATAAGATCCATACATGAATTCAGGTAAGCTGTGCTTCCTCATAAACATTTCTTTCAAAATTTGACTGCATCTCTATGATCTTATGCATTCTTGATTTAAAATTTTGTGAGCCTCATTACTTTTCACTTTTTTTTTTTTTTTTGATTAATCAAATGATTGGTGTTTGACAACTTATAATTTTCATTTGGTACTAACTATTTAGTTCCTTATTGCATGCCTCTAACACATCACTTCCCATTTCTTAATATATATATATTTGCAGACTTGTAATTATAATAGATGTTGAATTCAAACTTGGAAGAATCTGCAACTAAGGGGATTCAGACCATGGAGATAGAAATGGAAAACAAGCCAGTGTAATTTACTTTTGAATTTTTTTGTTCATTTAAAGCATTGGTTTTTCTTTAATTTTCTATATTGATGTTTGTGGTTATGATCTAGATTGTTGGTCGTTTTAATTTGTCCACGGGAATACAAAACATGGATTGGAGTTCTATTAGGTGTTATGGTTTCAATAGGGTTTGATTGCTGTAATTGTAGGCCATCCATTGGCCTTGAAACACCTAACAAATGCTGATCGAACGAACAACAAGCAGTTAGAAAGGCATTGTCATCAAGAGAAATTAAGAATGATTTTGGTATGTTCCTTGAGTCTCAAGCATTTAAGCATGGGCTTTCTGATTTTTTAATCTTTTGTTAATTAGTACAATGAGCATAGTCTTATGGTAAAACTAATTAAGATTCTTCCTTTAAAAGTTGTTGGACCATAAGGTTTTAATCTCTTGGAGGTGCTCAATTTCAGTCAGCTGGGAGAGTGACAGGATGTTGATCAGTCTATTATACCTTGAGTAGGTAAATCGCTTCTGAGTTCAATTTGTTTCAAAGAATGGCAGCTGATGCAAAGTTGCTCATGGACTTCAAATTTGTAGGTTTCTTTCTGTTGAGTTGTCATCGACTAAGTTGTACCCAGACTCCAGGGACATCTCAACCCATAATGACTCTAACTCCTTGAAAGTATGTTTTGAGTAGAATTATGATTAAACTTAAAATTCATTTCAAGTAGATATGCTTTTCTTTAATTCGTATTTCTCATTTCCATTATCAATGCTACTTTGTGATGCTCTTGTAATTGACATCAAAGTTCTCATGTTTTAACAAATGAACAGCAGGGAATTCAAGATGAAAACAAAGAGAGTCAACCATGACAACCAGTAGCTAACCATGGAGATCAATGGTATGGTATTGGAGACCTAGTGGTGGCAAATGTGGTTTGCTCAATATGTTTTTTGTCTTGAAATGGTGATGAAGAGATTTGAACCCACTTTCCAACGTAGGTCGCATCTCTCCTGATAATTCAGCCAACACCAGCAGTGTCATTTTTGCTAGTAGCCCAGGGATAACATGGCAAGTCTCCGAAGTGAAGAAATTTCATCCAAGATCAATCAATGCAAAGTGGAAGATGCATAAATATTTAAGGCGATCAAGTGCCATATTCTGTCAAATTAGTTGCTAACCAACAGACATGAAATGTGGAAGGCCAAGTTCAACTTGCTAATGCTTCTTGAATTTTGATTGCAATAATGGATGCATTTGCTATTGAGTACAAAAGAGCGTTGTGAGATAGGGTGTATTGGGAAGCTTCTATCGAAGCTAGGGACGAGATTTTAGCAGTCGTATCCATTTCTTTACGTAGTAGAATTTCTACTTGGCTCTTCCAGCAAAATTGTGGTCATTCTTTTATCATTCTTTCGTTATCTCTTATCGTATAAAAATGGTTAAAGAACGTGAAAATTGCACCAAATTGGAATTAATGCATTTACTTCACCAGAAAAAATTATCTTCAATGGAGATTACCTTCTCTCCGTCAACCATGCTATCATTCGCGAGTGTGGTGGTTTAGTTGGAAACGCCAGAGATGGGTGGTAGAGGCCGACCGAGAAAGAAAGATCCGCCGCCTAAGGGTGGTGCTGCAACAAAAACAATTGATCTGAAAGATGATAATGGGGAGCAAAATAGCATCTCAGTTGAGGAAACCAACAAAGAGAAAACTGAGGTCGTGAAGCTTGTTGCTCGCGATCCAAACTAGATGGGTCTCGAAATTGAGGAATCAGGGCGTTTGAGTCCAGATCTAGGGGAGAAAGAAAGGGACGCTAAAGGAATTTTGCTAGATCTAGCAGTTTCGACGCAAGGCCAGAGGAAAAGCAGTTTCGATGCTAGTCCCAGGGATGGAAGAGTAGATAAGGGGAAGAGCGAGGCCGGCCCCGTGGAAGGGAAAGTAGCGAAGGGGAAGAAGGGAGTGCGCTCGGAGACTCAGCCTTCTGTCATCTAGATGAAGCAACCTTCTGGGGAAAAGGATGTTGGGTCTACATCTGATATGGCAATGTCTCCTAGTGCTCGGTGGAGTGACCTAATTAAGAAGGAGAAAGGGGAATTTCAACCATCCCTAAAGCAGAAGCCACTGCGTAGTTGGGCTTCGGTTGTGGAAGGGAATAGGGATATCAGTAAAGGATGGGATTTGCAATACATAAAACCTCAAGATCCAACTGGTGCTATGGTTATTACTGAGGATGAGTGGGTTAAAGGGTCAAAGATTTGGGAGAATGCTCTTGTTGGGTATGTTATGGGATCTAAACCTGATTTTAAGGATGTTGCTAATTTTGTGAATAACAGGTGGAGGGAATTCTAGGTGCCTAAGGCGTTTATGCTGCGAAATGGAGTTTTCTTGTTTGATTTTGGTAATGGAGATGCAAAGCAGGCGGTGCTAGAGAGGCGATGGACATTTAATGGGCACCCTTTGATTTTGAATCAGTGGACTCCAAATTTTGATCCTGACAATTTGGATATCAGTAAGATTCCTGTCTGGATCCAATTTCCTGAACTCTATTTGAGTCTTTGGAACCTTGAGAGCTTAGGAAAGCTAGCAAGCTATGTGGGAGTTCCTATTGCAACTGATGCATTAACAGCTAAAAGGCAAAGAGTGGCTTATGCTCGTATGCTAGTAAAGATGGAAATCATGGACACTCTGCCCCATGTAGTTCCTATTATTGGTCCTAAGGGTGTGTTCCAGCAGCCTGTGGTCTTTGAATGGGAGCCTGTCAGATGTGGTAAATGTAGAAACCTAGGGCATGAAGAGAGAAACTGTACTACGAAGGAAAAAAAGGTGTGGGTTCCAAAAAAACCTGCCAAGGAGCAGGTGGTCAATCAGATAGTTGGCACAAAGTCTTCTGAGGGAAATGATGAATTATGTGGTGGTGAAGTGCAAACTGCTACTAATTCAGCAAATGTGAAGCAAAGTACACTTTCACGTCCTTCTGGAAAGCTGATAGTGGAAAGCAATGAGCAAAGTCCAGTGCAACTGGAAGTGGGAGCTATGAAGTCAGTGAATCTACAGAGTGAGACTAGTACTGGCATAGGGGATAAAGAGATGATGCAAAAGGCAGCAGGGGGAGAATCTTCTGTAAGTAAATCTCTCTCATGATATATCTTTCTTCATGGAATGTGAGGGGTTTGAATGACCCTATAAGACAAGTAGATGTTAAGAAGTTTATATGTTCAAATAAAGTCCAGTTTATGGCTTTATTAGAAACTAGAGTGAAACAAGAGAATAGTAGTTGAGTTGTGCAAACTTTTGGTAGGCAATGGGGATGGTTGAATAATTATAACTCTTATCCTAATGGTAGAATTTGGATATTATGGAATAAAACAGATTTGAGGGTGACTGAAGTAATACAAACAGACCAATTGCTACATGTTGAAGTATGCTTTATAGTTGGGGATGTTAAATTTTTGTGCACAATTGTCTATGCTTTTAATACTTTTGATGGTAGAGTAGCATTATGGGATCAAGTTAGAGCTCTAGACGTTGAAAATGTGCCATGGATAATTTCTGGAGATTTTAATACAACTCTAAATTATGGTGAAAGGGTGAAGCCTAGTGGAGTTGTTTGGGGAGGTACCTCTGAGCTCAAGGATTTTGTTAGTAGAATGGAGGTTTTTGATTTGCAATTTTCAGGTGCTTTCTTCACTTGGAGTAATAAGCAGGGGGAAAGTGATAGGCTGTGGTGCAAGCTGGACAAGGTAATGGCTAATTCAACATGGGTTAGTGCATTCCCAAATACTTCTGTTGTCTTTCTAAATCCACAATCCTTAGATCACTCACCCTCTTTAGTGACTGTGGATGTATTGATGAACGAGAAACCAAGGCCATTTAGATTCTGCAATGCTTGGTCTAAGGATGAAAACTTCCTTGATCTGGTTAGGGAAGCTTGGAGTGTGGATATTCAAGGATAACCTATGTTTGTTGTAGTGCAGAAATTGAAATTGGTAAAACAGAAGATGAAGTAGCTGTATAAAAATAGATATGGAAACTTGGAGGGAAGAATAAAAGATATGGCAGCAGAGCTACAAAATGTTCAAGCTTCCATGCAGAATGCTTTATTTGATGAGACTTTGGCTGTAAAGGAAAAGGAACTTCAACGTGAATTAACTAAGCTTGAGAGAGCAAATTTGTCCGTAATTGCCCAGCAAGCTAAAGTAACTTGGCTAAAGGAGATGGACTCTAATTCTGCTTATTTTCATGCTAAAGTAAAGGAGAGGCAGCATAGAAGTGTTATAAACTCCATCCTGAACAGTGAAGGAGTTAGAGTGACTCAGCCTAAACTTATAGAACAAGAGTTTTTAATGTTCTATCAAAAGTTGTTTGGAAAGGCAAAAGAAGGTGTTCAAGCAGCTGATATGAATGTTATACGCAGGGGTAGAGTGTTAACTACTAAAGAGTCAGAAGAGTTATGCAGGCCATTTACTGCTAAGGAAGTGGAGACTGCCCTATTTTCAATTCCTTATAATAAGTCACCAGGGCCTGATGGATTCACTTCAGGGTTCTATAGAGCAGCCTGATCAATAATTAAAAATGATGTCACGGCTGCTGTGTTGGATTTCTTTGACAGTGGGAAAATCCTCAAGCAAATTAATGCCACCAATATTACTATTGTTCCGAAGGTGAGTTGCCCAAATGTTGTCAGTGATTATAGGCCAATAGCTTGTTGTAATGTCATCTACAAGGTGATATCAAAGCTCTTAACCTAGAGGATTAATGAAGTGCTGAGCATGCTGGTTAGCAGTAATCAAACTGCATTTGTGAAGGGCAGATCTATAACGACAAATTTATTGATTTGCCAACATCTGGTGAGGAACTATCATAGAAGTAGGGGGCCAGCTAGATGCTTAATGAAAATTGATCTACAAAAAGCATATGATTCAGTGGATTGGGGTTTTGTTAATGCAATGTTAAGAGGGGCTGAACTTCCCTGATAGATTTATTAACTAGCTTATGCTTTGTGTTTCTACTACCAGATTTTCTGTATTGATAAACAGACAGCCAAAGGGTTATTTTCAGGGGCAACGAGGGCTTCAACAAGGTGATCCAATCTCGCCTTATCTATTTGTGCTAGTGATGGAATATCTCACAAGGAAATTGAAGGAGTTAGATATGCAGGAGAAGTTTAAATATCATAGTAAGTGTCGCGTGATGCAACTTACGCACTTGATCTTTGCAGATGACATTATGCTTTTTTGTAAGGCTGATGAGGAGTCCACTATTTTGATGATGCAAAAGTTTGAGGAGTTTGCCCGAGTCTCTGGGTTGGAAGTGAATAGAATGAAGAGTCAGGTTTTCTTCAGTGGTGTTAAAAAAAGGCAGAAAGTTGCTTTAATTCAGAAGCTGGGTTTTGCTGAGGAACAACTTCCAGTTAGATATTTGGGGTTGCCATTGATTTCAAAAAAGCTGTCTCCTGGGGCATGTCAACCTATTATCGATAAAATTCATCAGAGAATTAGCTCTTGAGCAATGAAATTCCTTTCATATGCAGGTAAAGTTCAACTAGTTAACTATGTTTTATTCCACATTCAAGTTTTTTGGAGTGGTGCTTTATTGATTCCTAAGAAAGTGTTAAAGCTAATTGATGCTGCTTGTAGAAATTTCATTTGGTGTGGTAAATGGAATTATAATGCAATGTCTCTTATAGCATTGGATGATGTATGTGTACCAAGGAAAGAAGGGGGACTAGGTGTGAAGAAATTGCTGCATTGGAATAAGGCAACATTAGGCAAATTGGTTTGGAATATATGTCAACATCAAGAGTCGCTATGGGTTAAGTGGGCACAGGTGGTGCTGTTGAGGGGTGAAAATTTTTGGAAGGTTAAAATCCCAGCAAATTGTGCTTGGACATGGAGGCAAGTTTTAAAACTTCGTCCTCTACTGAAAAATATCATTTGTATGCAAGTGGGAGATGGAAGACAAGTTTCACTATTCTATGATTGGTGGGCATGTGAGTTAAGGTTCTGTGAGTTGATCTCAAAGGATGAGATTGCTGTTTGGGGCCATGACTTTACAGTTAGTGAGTGGTGGGATGGTTTAGATTGAACCATTCTAGATAGTTTTGTGAGAAGACATCCCATGCTTGTCCAGATTATTAGATGTCAAAAACTATCTCAACAAATGGACAAGGCTGTATGGAAACCTGCAAAGAATAGTTTGTTTACTATTTTAAGTTGCTATGAGTTCCTAAGAGTGAAACGCCCTAAGGTAGAATGGCATCATATTGTTTGGGCAGGGTGCATTTTCCCGCGACATAGATTCATCTTTTGGTTGGTATTGCGGGGTAGACTAAAAACTAGAGATTTACTAACAAGTAGAGGTATGAGAATTGAGAAAGGGTGCTGCTTGTGTGGTAGATATGATGAAACTTGTGAGCACCT